ATTATTAGATATCAATAAAATTGTTTTAATATATTAAATATAATATAATATATCAAAATAGCACATGTACCTCATAAATATGTATAATTATTAGATATCAATAAAATTGTTTTAATATATTAAATATAATATAATATTAATATATTAAATGTATTATTAGATATCAATAAAATTGATTTAATATATTAAATATAATATAATATTAATATATTAAATGCAGAGGTTGGCACCTCTGCATTGTTCAAGGGTTGTGTGTGTGTGTGAGTGTGTGTATGCATAAAATGCCAGTAATGTTTTAGACTGTATTTCTAAAAGAAATTTACACATAATTTCCCAGAAGTAAAAATTTTCATTAAAAAGAGCATTATTCAGATAATTTTTTTGATAAATACCTTGAGAAAATCATTTTATATGTTAATTTGACATTATTTTTCAATAGGAAAGGCATAATTGATATTAACCAAATTGTTATTGCAATATAAAAAGTAACATTTTGTATGATACAGAAACAGGATATGTATGTATGTATGTATACATACATATATACATATAGTTTTATTTAAAAAAGAAGTAATTTTAAATGATTTAGTTTATAAATAAATAAAATGGATACAATATAAAACATTTCAATTTCTTAGATAAATAAAATTCAGTTAAATTTAAATATTTAAACCTTGTTAAAACTCATATTTCTTCAGATTCACTGTGTGATGTCAATTTTATTCAAAGTGAAAATTCTTGCTATTCTACGAAATACTGAACACATTTTGAATTTATAAAAAATATTTCCATGCATTTCTTACTTGTCTGAGCATCTGGAGGTTACTTATTAGTAAAATAACATTTACTTACTGAGAAAACCCTTGTCTATTCTGAATAAAATACTCAACTATATATTCTATTTGCTAATCTACTACCTTCTTCATCATTTTTTTCTGTTGTTTGAGATGGTCTTGCCCTCTCACCAAGGCTTTAGAGTAGCTGGGATTACAGACACACCCCACCATGCCCTGCTAATTTTCTTTCTTTTTCTTTTTTTTTTTTTTTTTGGTTGTACATTTCTTTTTTATTGCATTTTAGGTTTGGGGGTACACGTGAAGAACATGCAAGATTGTTGCATAGGTACACACATGGCAGTGTGGTTTGCTGCCTTTCTTCCCCTCACCTGTTATCTGTCATTTCTCCCCATGCTATCTCTTCCCACCTCCCCACCCCCCCATCCCTCCCCCATTTCCCCCCAACGGACTCCATTGTGCAGTGCTTTGTTTTTTGAGAGATGGGATTTCTGCCACGTAGCTCATGCTGGTATTGAAGCCCTGGGCTCAAGTAATCCTTCTTCCTTGGTTTCCCAAAGTATTTATTCTACAAGCATGAGCCAAGTCTGGCCTAAAAGTTTCTAATGGAAATTCTCAGTTTTTTTTTTTAATTTAATTTAATTTTATTTTATTTTTTGAGATGGAGTTTCGCTCTTGTTACCCAGGCTGAAGTGCAATAGCACAGTCTGGGCTCACCGAAACCTCCGCCTCCTGGGTTCAGGCAGTTCTCCTGCCTCAGCCTCCTGAGTAGCTGGGATTATAGGCACGCGCCACTATGCCCAGCTAATGTTTTGTATTTTAGGTAGAGACGGGGTTTCACCATGTTGACCAGGATGGTCTCAATCTCTTGACCTCGTGATCCACCCGCCTCGGCCTCCCAAAGTGCTGGGATTACAGGAGTTTTTGTTTTGTTTTGTTTTGTTTTGTTTTTTTCTTTTTATCATTTTTCTGAATTATCAAGCTTAAAATTTGATTCCTTAGGCAATTATTTTTTTTAGGTAGGAACCTGCGTCGTACATTTTGTATTTCTCTGTATCTGCTTATGAATTTCACACCTCTATATCTAATTATTCATATCAGTTTATCTTTTACTCTGGTTATATTTCTGCACTTTTAGACAAGCTCTTTCTTTTTTTATTAAGTTTACAGACAAATTTAGGTTTTTATGCTACAAAAATCCCATCAAATGAATGCCAAATGGTTACTGTTTAATTTCCATTGCTCTAATCAGGGTGAATGGTATTTTGGAGCCATTTGTATATTTTAAGTATTTATAGTGAAAATGGGTGAAATACGGTTTTAAAAACAAGCAATATTACAAAAAGAGGTTTCTTTGAAAAATTGTAGAAAATCTATATAGGGAAAATTCAAACAAATTCCAGATTAAATGCTTGAATGAAAAAGCGTTTTCATCTTCATCAATTTAAATGTAGGATAAAGTTATAATAACTCAAATTTTAACTATAATCAGTTAAAATTTAGATTTTTTTTTTTTTTTTTCTTCCTTGAGATGGAGTCTTGCTCTGTCACCAGGCTTGGCTCACTGCAACCTCCACCTCCAGGGTTCAAGCAATTCTGCCTCAGCCTCCCGAGCAGCTGGGACTACAGGCATGTGCCACCACACCCAGCTCATTTTTGTATTTTTGGTAGGGATGGGATTTCATCATGTTGGCTAGGATAGTCTAGGTCTCTTGACCTCATGATCAGCCTGCCTCGGCATCCTAAAGTGCTAGAAATACAGGTGTGAGCCACCAAGCCCAGCCAGAAGTAAATTTTTGGTTTAACTAACAACATCATTTGCCTTGCCTACTCATTATTTTAAGATTCATTTCCTTTTATGAGAAATAAACATAAATGAAGAGAATATTAAGATTTCAAACGTAGGATTTCAAGTAACTGCCGTCTGTATAATTATGAAAATGAATAAATTATAGTGATGATAGTTTATCCTTTTTAAGATGTTGTAAAACTAAAAAGTAGAAGTTATGATAAATAAATTCCCTGATGAAGCCACTGAGACATCAATTTAGTCATCAGAAGCTCTTATATGCTCAGTTAATTATCACACTTTCCTTTTTGTGCTTTCAATTCAACTAAAGGACTGAAAAGAGCAGATCAAACAGTCTTGTGGCTAATTGAATACATGTATGAATAATTTAGTAGTTAATTTCTTTCTGATTTGTTTTGTCTAAAATTACTACAGAAAAGGAAAGTTCTCAAGGATTTCTTCAAAATCAGCACTTTCTAAAGTGAAAGTCAAATAAAATTTTAAAAAACATGTTAAGAACTTATAATACATCCCTATTCCACATGATGGTTTCTTTCAGAAAAACATATTCTGAGTCTTGGAAATAAGCAAATTCAAAGAAAAATGAATATATCAAATTAGAAAATTGTCTGTTACATTATTATGGTTTGGGAAAAGGCACACAATGTTTGTATTATCAGATTAAAAAACTTTGATCTTACTCTGGTTTGACGTGTTTGCACTCACAGCTTTATTTCTGACTTCTAAAAAAATTAATTAAAACTTATTTTATGCTATGTGATGAACTACATGATTTTTTTAAAAAAAGTAACCCTAGATCATTATCCTCTGCTCCATATGGATTGAACAAACAATGCATAATACAAGAAAACGTGCCCTTATAAAATGCTAGATGAACACATATCAAACACAAATTGAGGGATTATCGATCATGAAAATTATTTTTTATTTAAAATTACAAGGCTCTTGATATGACAAATGGACAAATATTTATTACTCTGATGAATATCATGGGGGCTTTAGTTCACTCTGTCAGAGAAAGAAACATATAAAAATGCTGAATGAATAAGGAATATTGAGGTAAAACAATGGATAATGTTAAAACAGCATTTTGAAATAAAATTTAAATATTGAAGGTCAATAACCAAAATTAAAATATATGCACGAGCATATAAATATACATTGCTCTTTCTATAAACTGTTTTTAAATTTTTTTCTAACATCTTTCAGAAAAGAGCAATGCCATGAAATATTTGAAAATTGTATACACACAGAATGTTTTAGGATCATGTTTTTATTAATAGCATAACAAAAACTGGAATTCCTATTACTTTCTAAGGTTAAATCTCGTAATTGTCTTATTTAGTAAATCATATACATACAGGAAATCAGAAAAAAATTCTGAAATGTATATTGGTTGTAATCCTACTAAGTACAGAGTGGAATGCATTAAAATAAATATGTTCATTGTTATACTTTCAGTGCATAATAAAACACTAAATATAACAATATTAAGAACTACATGTTTTTTATGGACCATTATGGACAAACATTTTAGGCATTTTTTTTTTAATTTAACACTTTCAAAAACAGCTATAAGGGGATTTTAGTCAGCATAAATATATCATGTAGACATATGATTATAATAAATTTCACTAATACCATATGCTTATTCAGGGAAAGGAAATATATTTTCTTGAATTATCATAAAAATGTCTTTTGAGACAAATTCAGAAAGTCAAAAAAGTATTGTGATAGTTTGAGGTGTTTGGATGTCGTTATTGTCCTCAATAATTTTTTAATTTAGATGAATAAAACTTATTTTACTCATTTTTCTAATGCATGGAGTTAGTTTTAGTAATTTGGGACCACATATTTTTTAAGGAATCCAAAATATATTTAAGGAACCCAAAAAATATATATCTAACATGCATTTTAATGGACTTTTAGGACTCTTACTTGGAGATTTAAATAATGTCAACAGGGGGTATAAGATGGTATCGCATAATATTCTTATGTAAACATTTCTCTCATTTGCCCATATAAATTACCTTCACATCCTCAGGTACTATTGCTATACATTCTTTTACTTTCCTATATATTAAGTCATATTTTTAATTGATAGTCTTATGAGATGTGGAAAAATGCACTGAATATTTTGGATAAAGAAAATTCAAAAATATATCTTGGAAAAAAAATGGATTGAATTAATGTGATAACACTATTACTGTTGTATACAAATGTGATTCCAACCTTTCAAGTTTGTCAAAACAGTAATCTCTAGAAAGGTAAACAAAGAAGAAATTCCTATTGTGTAAGAATTTTATGATATATTTTAAAGGTTTTTTTTCTTAAACAAATGGATAGAAAACAAGTGAACAGTTTTAAAAAGTAATTCTATTGTCTTTTCTTTTCAGGTGACACAATCATCTACTATTCATGATGTTAAGCAAAAGTTACACAAAGCATGTAAGTTTTATGTATTATTTATAATTTACAGTGTTTTATGTTCAAATAGGTTTACATTTTTCTATAAGTACAATATATGATACAGAGTATGGAAACCATAGTTTTACATGGAGCTCAGAAACAGTAGTTTGCTTAATATTTCTTGGGCATAAATATTCTAACATTTAACTTTAATTGATCCTATAATCTCTAGCACTTCCAATTTTTCACAAAGTTGTTCTTAATTTATACTTAAACTTTATTTTATTAGAAGAGAAAACTTTCTATGTATTAAAGACATCAATTAATAAAATTATTTATATTTAAGCAAAACAGTAGGCAAATTTTTATTTCATGTATTTATACTGGTCAAGTATTATTCGTATAGAAATCCTTCACACAATTTATTTGAATTATAGTGTTTAATTTTATTAATAGATAAATCTACCTCAACAACTAACTAATCTTCTATTATGATTTATTAAAAGTATTTATACTTAATGTATTTCACTTATTATTTTTAGACCTTTTCAATAAAGTTCATCCCAGATGTTAAACATAAAAATGTTGGTAGAGTGCAGTGGCTCTTGCCTGTAATCCCAGAACTTTGGGAGGCCCAACAGGTAGATCATGAGGTTAGGTGACCAAGACCATCGTGGTCAAGAGGGTGAAACCCTGTCTCTACTAAAATTACAAAAATTAGCCAGGTGTGATGGTGTAATGCCAACTACTTGGGAAGCTGAGGCAGAGAATTGCTTGAGCCTGGGAGGCAGAGGTTGCAGTGAGCTGAGATAGCGCCACTGCATTCCAGCCAGGGTGACAGAGTGAGTCTCTGTCTCAAAATAAAGTCTTTAATGCTGGCAAATATTGTTTTTACAAATTTTATTTTTGGAGCAGTTTTTGTTTCATAGAAAAAATTAAGTAGAAAGTACAGAGATTTCCCATATAACCATTTCCCCACACATACATAGCATCCCTCATTATAAACAATCACTCTATTTCATGTTACCCAATTCAACAAATAACTGAATTTTCTCTTGGGATACAATATGACTTTATCAGAACGTTTAAAAACAAAACTGTGGCTGGGCACAGTGGTTCACACCAATAATCCCAACACTTTGAGAGGCTAAGGCAGGTGGATCATGAGGTCAGGAGTTCAAGACCAGCTTGATCAACATGTTGAAACCCCGTTTCCACTAAAAATAAAAAATTAGCCGGCTGTGGTGGTGCATGACTGTAATCCCAGCTACACAGGAGGCTGAAGCAGAAGAATCGCTTGAACCTGGAAGGCGGAAATTGCAGTGAGCTGAGATCATGCCGCTGCACTCCAGCCTGGGCAACAGAGTGAGACTCCAACTCAAAACAAACAAACAAACCCAAAATTGTAACAAATTACACTTAAAGACATAATTGGCTGTTATTAGTTATTCACAAAATGGGCAGTATCTTATCTACATAAGATGTAAGTAGAAAAGAGCTTCAATAAGCATGACAGAACATGATTTTATAAAGTGGGCTAGCTGGAATAGGAGTGAGAAAAATGTTTCTGCCTGAAAAAAAGTGAAAAATTCCTGTAGTCTAGGTTTCCACAGAAAATGTGATGAATGTGATACCTTACGTTAATAAAATAAAATATATATTTATGTAAATACTTTGAAGAGTTGATAAAGCGAAGCTCTGCTTAATATATTCTTTAGGAACTGCAATCACTCATTACTGTAAGCCAGGAAATCTCTAACAGACATTAGAAAATATCTGTATAAAGATAGTATTTTGTATAAAAAGTTTGTAAAATTATTTTTATTATTTATTATTTAATTATTTGTTTATTATAATTACTTGGTTTTGATTAATTAATTGTAATTGTGATTGTTTTATAATTGAGTTATAATTGTAATGACAAGTTCATTGTATTTTACTATTTAATTGTATTTATAGTGTACAATTAAATTACAACATAATACATTTAATTGTAATTACTTATTATTATTACTGGTTTTGTAGTTAAAAGTGATTTGTTTTCGTAAAATAAGATGCCCTAAATAGTACTCCAAATAGCATATACAGCCCCTACGGAGAAACCAGTCATTCATCAGGTATAATGGATGATCCCTTCTGTGATTATTCAATGGGGGTAAACACCAAAATTACAATGAAAACTGTGAGATATAACAAGGTTTCTCTTTAAGCAGCCTGCTTTCTTTTATTAATTTTTTAATTAATTAAGTAATTAATTAATTCTTTAATTCCCTTTTCTTCTCCTTTCCTTCTTTCTGACTTTATTAGGTGCCCAGGCATGCCCCAACACCAGTTGCCTTATCAACACCAACTCACATTCCTTTCCTTATTTGGAAAAAAACTGACTCATTCACCACCGACGACAACTTCCTCCTTTTCCCTCTCTCCCATCACACATCCACCTTATCAAAAAAAAAAAAAAAAAGTTTAATAGTTTAGCCAATTGGATCTGGTTTAGATTATATTGTCCGACCCCATCCAATGGGGAAAGGACTCAGGGACAGGACTCTTCTCTGCTCATGGTGTTCTGGTGACAACCAGCCATACTGGAGGCATGCTTCTGTGCAGAAGTAAATTTACTTTAGTAAAAAATTCTTTGTCTGAGTATTATTGGTTTTTCCTTATGACTCCGAGCCTTATTTCTAACAAAACCACAGTTTTAAAGTTAGATGAAAAAATAGTGTGGGAAATTATTGAATGATATTCAATCTTCATGCAATTGCAAATTATGCCCTTCATTAAATATGTTCAAAATTATATCAAAACATATTTTCAAATCTTTTGTCAAAGCTTATACAAAATGTACCGTAAGAACTATGTGCTATTTTAATTTAGATTAGCATATTACCAAGTACATGATTAATAGTTTTCTTTCTGATAGTTCATCATAAACATTGTGGATCCTTACTTGAGATAAAAGTTTTCTTACCTTTTTTGACAATTTTTAAGTAGTAGATACATTTTACGGTTTCTAGATGACATTTCTTTCTATATTATCAAAATCTTTTAAGATGACTAAAGATTAAATAGAGGAACTCATCAGAAATAATACCATTATGAAATTAGGATATATTACATTGAATTCTTCTACTCACTGATTTTCTGTGGACTAGTAACATATTAGTCAAGTTGATAAGAATATTAGCATTTAAAATAACAAGAGATAATAATGAAAAGGTAAAGATATGAAAAAATCTGATTATGACATCTATCTTATTTCTCTTCTTTCTTTTCTCAAATCTAAATGTCTCTGAAAAATTATTAGCCTCCTGTGCTTTTCAAATATTATCCCTCAGAAACATAATCCTCTTAGCTTTCAGTAGCATTCTTAGCCTGGTGAAATCTATTTTTCATTGGAGAATCTATTTCTAAAACCTACAAAGTTTATCTCCAAAAAAAACTGTCTTCTAATACTTAATATCCATATTTCTTCTTCAGATGAATTTCTCTTTGTTAAGTTTCTTATTTTCTACCAGTGTTATAGCATGATTCTTTTTGGTTTCTTTGAACTACCTTTAAAACATTGTTCTTTAAGTTTAAATTGTCTGTTATGCAAATTATTCCAATACTTTTCTTCATATTTGTTCACACCTTTTTTTATAACAGTAAGATTTGTCTTTCTCTGATTAAAAACCCTCATTTAATTATCAAGGTGTACATGTCTTTTGCTCTCTATGAGAATTTTCTTCACTCCTTCAATCTATACTCTCATTTTCTTCTATATAATTTAAAAATTATAGTTAATCTCAAGGTGAAGCATTTGTCAAATACAATGTCTTATAATATCATTACAACTATTTTGCATTAACATTTATAATAATAATAAAAATAATTAACATTTTTCAAAATTTATTATGTGCCATGAACCTAAGATATTTCTATTGTAGCATAGTTTTAAAATAATTGTGACAATACTATGATTATTTAGGTACAATTATAATTTTTATGTTTCAGAAAAAAGTCTTTAAAGAAATATTATATCACTTGCCCTAGGTTACACAGCTAATAAGTGACAAAGCTGGAATTTAAACTCAGGCATAGTGACTCTGTACCCTGTACTCTAACCATGATCCATCATTTCCTAAATTTTCCTGAAAATTTGTCATTAATTTCTTCAGGAAGACGTCCCAGTAGTACCCAGTTATTTTGCTTGAGAAAGGTTATTATTAATCCTCATTTTCAAATAGGAAGCTACAAATTTTGTTTTATAAATTATGTAATGAATAATAACACAGTAAATCTGAAGATAGTTCACAATTGATTACAATAACTGAAATCCCTGTGTAAGCTTACATGACAGTGTAAAAAAAGCTACTAAATTATTAATAAAAACAACAGTTAATACGAATATAGAAGAGTGCAAATATGGCTTAAAATTACTAAAGAAATATTATCCTGTGAGATTGATCTAAACATAGTAATATATAAATTTAAATGATTAACAGCTGAGGTGTAATTTGTACACTGACTCTGTGTCATAAAACTTTCTTAACAAAAAGAGCAAAATTGTTTTGCCAATGACTTCTGTGTTATCCATTAATTGAAAACACCTTAAAAAAGTTTTAGTGATGTTTATTATCCATCAGACTACTTGTCTGAGCAGTTCCCAGAAAGAACCATGGGGAACAAAGCAAAAGAAGAAACAATGAAATCAGCAGGAAAATTGTAGTTTCAGCCACACACACAAAAAAAGGGTATATAGTTTATTGTGACAGTTGGAACGCAAATAAATCTTTGCCAAAAGGCTGGGGTATATAAACAATGCTAAACTTTGAAAGGTTCAGTGATAGTAACTCAGGACAAAGATAGCAGAGCAGGAGGATTTATCACATATAGTAGAAAATAATGAGTGTTTCCTGGGCAATTTGGAAGCAGCCCCTGGAAAAGGCTGTGGAATTCCCTGATCTCACAACAACAACAACAAAAAAAGCCAGAAAAATGATAAACGCAACCAATGAAAAAAGTGGCAGGATGCTTTAAAAAAATAAAAAGTCCTCTAC